GAAGTGTACCTCTGGTGCAAATTACTGACCTCTGTCATCATTTTAGGTGGGGGAACTTGCACAATCGGTGGCTGACTAAATACTTTTTTGCCCCACTGTGTATATATATATATAATCCACTCATAATATCAGCAGGACCAAACCATATGTGAAAGGCGAAAGGGATAACATGAAACAGGGTCGCCGCACCCTGAACTGATTCTTGTTATGTCCCTGTGGGGGACACATCAGCGAACATGACCGTTTACACTAAACCCATATGTGACCACAGAGTCTCAGGGAAAAGGATTTGGCTTATTGTGCAGCATCATAAAGCTCGCTGTACTGTAAAAGCTAGTACTGCAGAGCAGCTATACTTCCAGCAACACTACACGTACAGAACAATTTCTGCTGGGAACTTTCACATTTTTCAACAAAGGAGCCTTCAGCTGTACAAATGTTTCAACTTCACTGTGTCTTCACTGGCAGTTTTATTACCAAGTGCACTTTAGTCCTTCCTGTCCTTTGAAAGTTTGTTGTCCGCAAGCTGAGAAGTACCTGATTCAGCTGCGTTTTGCTGGAAGCTGCATGCTGAACCCCGTTTCATATTTTTAGTTCATGCTGACTTACAGGTATGACACACATTCCTTGAACCAAGGTAGAAATTGGTTATATTCCTGTTTTGTGTGTGTGTATGTGCAGAATTAGTGGCACAACACAGCCATTTACACTGTTAGCAGGTGCCTGTAGGCTTCTTTCAGCTGCTCCCTTACTTATGAGCAGTTGCCACAGATTTGGCTCTGAGGTATTTGTACCTCTTCCTGAACTCAAACCGAGAATACCGCACATGTTAGGCAAATGTGTGAAACACAATACTGTGGAATCACTCATATCTATGACTCCTCTAACAGGAAAAAGGAGGATAATCAGAAAAGGTGGCTGAGGGAAGTGACAATAATGGCTTTTAAAAAACAAGCAAACAAACAAAAAATTACATATTGGATCCTTAATGGTATCAAGGCATTTATGTACCAAACTGAATGCTCTGTCTTTAATCAGTGTTCTGTAACCGTAACTATTAAAGTTACCCGGTGAAGTGGATATATTACAAGAAGAGAGCCTTGATGCCTTTAAGTCATGATTTAATTACCTCTTTAGAGAAGCATGGCTTCCTTGACCTTGAATTACCATTTAGCCTTCCTATTCAGGCATGCTTGTTGGCTCTATAACTGTGTTTATTAGCATGCATGCTATGACTGGGCTTGGTGCGTGTGTTTATGATTGAACGTGAATGCAGATCCCTATCTGATGAGGTGAAACACAAACCCTGAGGAGTTTTGGGGAGGTAATACATCCAGCACAGTCATATTTACAAGAAAAAAAAGTCACATATACGTGAAGATATTCACCTGGAGTTTAAGACAGACAGAGGAATTAATCATAATGAGCTGTTTTATGTTGAGGCGCGCAGGAGCAAACCTGCCCTTGCTTGCTATGCATGAATAATGCCGACGTTGATAAAGGAACACCTTCATCAGGTTTAAGGCAGAATCTACAACCATTTATCCATTTTATTCTGCTTATCCAAATTCAGGGTCATGGGCAGGCAACTGTTAGGGGACCTAGACCGCTGTGGGACCGCTGAGAGCTTACAAGCTTGCAGTATGAAATGTCACTAGGATTGACCTGACCTCCCTAAGTGGGCTCCACCTGACTCCACTCACTTATGTATGCATGATTCTGTTTAAACAAACTGAAAAACCACAGAGAAAAAAAGGAAAGAAAAGAAAAAAGAAAGAGGAGAAAAGCAAGTTAGAGGTGAGCGGAGCAGACAACCACCATTAAATAAAATGCTAAATAACTAAACGCGGCTAGCCTAGCCTTAACTGTGGAGGGCAGGCAGTTGAATGACTTCCACTATCATCATGTTAGTTCTTTTTTTAGTTAGATCTTTGGCTAATTTGGCTAGCAGAGTAGCCTAGCATGTTATTTTTGTTGTTGTTGTTGGTGTTAGATTATTACACTGGTTGTATGTGCCCCCTTTGGGAGGAAACTGGAGAGAACCCATGCCAACACTGGTAGAACATGCAAACTCCACTCAGGAAGACCCCAGTCTTGCTGTGCATGCCATGAGCATGCCTATCCAGAGCCTCAGTGGCCTATTCTCTATCTCTTACCTCTCTGTGTCCAAAGTCATTAAGTATGGTGGCTAGTTTCTTCGTGCTGGCATACTGACGCTGGGCAACAACGGCCGGGCTGGGATCCCTCCAATCTACAGAAAGACGATGGAGCCACATTTCAGCTTGTTGCAGGTGAGGCTGCTTAAGGCTGGGATCAAAACAGTGGACTTCACAGCCTGACTGGGCGAGAGAACTTTCCAGGGACCGGTCATCCACTCCTAACCTAGAAAACACACAAAAATACAGACAGGGTGAATATGTGAGAGTCAGCTCCATTTACAGGAATGCATATTTCATCGTCTTGACTTCATTTGTGTAAAATGTTCCAATGACGAGATGAAGAGATTCTTCATGGGACACATGAAGACTAGGTGGTACGAGTGGCCCAAATTATGATATTTTGACAAAGTTATATGGCAACTAGCTATTGAGTTTCATACAATCTCACCCCTTGTGCACATTTTTAAGGAAGTCAAAGTGTGGTACAGGTACAGACAGTCAGGTAGGAAAACACAGGTATTAAAAACTTTCTAAAAATAGCCATCGTTAGAGAGGGATGTTTGCATGAATGCAGCTGTATAACTTCAATGCGTGTTTATTTCATGCAGGGTTGGATTTCATTAGAAATTGGTTGCCTACTATAAAACCATCGTCTTTATTGTTGCTCCATCATTTGATAGGGCCAAGTGCTTATGAGACCCATATGGAAAAGATATATATAAATCTTATAAAGTTTTTATCTGTCTTGTATGAAACTTGTATGAAAAGCATACAGGAGTGAAAACACATATAAGATCCCTTGAAAAATTATATAATGAAACTTGTATGTTTTATATACTTACTAAAAAATATATATGAAAGTAATGAGAAAGTGGCCACTTTCATGAGTAAATCATATATGTTTTTACTATTTCTTTTCCATATGGGGAACAACGCAGGATGAAGCCCTTCTGTTGTATTCCAGTGATCTAAAACTTTAAAAATGTGATCTGAGGCGCCACTAAAGCGAAAACATTTGATCAAAGACCCAAAGATCGGTTTTGTGACATGAAACAACACCTTAGCCAGTTGTTACACGTGTCAAATGCAACAGAGCGAGCAAAACTGATAAAAGGATACAGACAAGATAACACCACGGCGTCACTGTGATCTTACTTGGCCTCCGAGCCAGAAAAGAATCAATAATTCAAACGAAGGGAATAAAGATTTTAGCCAGGAGATACTTGACGCTTGTGTTTCTCTCTTATGTCTCCTTTGTTTCATGTTTCTCTCCTTTGCTCTCCACATCTCTTTTCCTACAAGTGGCCTGCTTCTCTATTTTAAAATGTGTAAATCTAAGCAGACAGACACGTTCCCTCGTGTCTCTGTCTCTTTCATGCCTTCTCTCCCTTCTCCCCGCACTTTTTCACTAACCTCTCTCAATGCTGTTCACTGTTTATGCCACCCCTCCCTTCTCTAATTCCACAATTTTCTCCTTTTCTTCCTGTCACTGTCTCTGCATCTGCATTCCCCTGTGTCTTGTTTGCGCGGCGGCTGTATTCTGTAATCGTGACAAAGGGAGTAGATTTCACAGTACGCGTCTTTTACAGATGAGGCACCGGGTCCCCAAATGCATCACGCTGGTGGGAAGATGAGAAATGAGCATATGTGAGGGATTGAGATGCAACTAGATGTCTCTTTTTAAAGCACTAAATATTTCATTGAGAGTTTTTCATTCTCTGGTGAGGTTTTGGTGAGCGGCTGAGAATCAGTGCTGCGATACTACGGGGATCGGGGATGACTCATGAGGCGGCAGGAGCAAAAGGGGGGAGTCACAGTGCATCACATGCCCTTCAGAATAACAATGCTCATAAAGGAGGGTCTCTACTAGGTCTCTCATGAGAGCAGGAGGGGTAACATAATGGATGAATGGCTACATAAATGTGGGTGTTCTAGAAAGAAATTTACTTCATACACATTCTTTATAGAGGCTGTAAGGAGACTGCTGTTGATGTAACCAAATATGAAGATCTATGATTGTTTAGATTCTTGGTCACAAACTCCCAGAGGATTGTAAATGTAATAAAGAGCTATGAATCCACCTGACCCATTATGTCAGCAGCCTGTCTGGGTGTGGTGAAGTCTGGGGCTGATTAACAAACCCTTGGTGGGTCGAGAAACTGTCCCAGTTTGTGCCAGTTTTTTCTCATTCTGGCTTCTGTCACTGTCTGTCTCTCACTTTAAATTTCACACTTGGACAAGATACAAGGGAATTGGTGGCAAAAAACCATAACCACTGGCGTGGCTTTGCCTCAGGCACAGGTATAGCAGTTCGACCCCTGGCTCCACTATCCTCGGACAAGATACTGAACCCCGAGTTACTTGTGACATATTCACCAGGGTCTGATTGTTAAATTGATTTCACTTAGGCAAAGAAACAAGATGGATGTGTATTGTTTCTTTGAGGGTCCACGTAGAGAAGAAAGGGGCTCTATACCAGTCAATTTAGAGTTACTAGGAAACCCAAAGGCCAAACTGAAAATATAATCAAGAAGATAACGACATGAAAATAGTAAAACTACAAAACACTATAAACACAGGAATCCTAATGGACTAGAAATAAAGCAATAAGAGGAATAAAACCCATTGCAGTCCAAATACTAATAGAAAAACTCAGAGCTAAGGAACAAAACCCAATTTTATGACAATATTTGTCTCCAAAGGACATGAATAAACATGTCCTTTAAATGTGAAAAGGTTTTTTTGTTTGTTTGTTGGGGTTTTTTTCACCCTCATGTCCATTAGCCTGTGTTGATGCTCTAAAGTTGTGTCATTCATTCTACAGGTAACTTGTCAAGTTTAGACCAGTTTCAGAGCAGAAATCTTTTCTGCCCTTCATGTGCAAATCCAACATGACTTCACAGTTCTGTCTCCTTGAATGTTGACTAAAAATGAGACAGTATGATCTGAGCAAACATTTTCAATATTATCTGTGAACTTGAATGTTGCCCCTCCAAAGTTTTACCTGCGAAATAGAAAATGTGGAGGTGTAGTCAACGACAAATTTTAACGACAAACTTTTCAGCATCTCGCAGGAAAATGACAGGTGTAAATAATTAAATTAACACTGCTGTTGCTGCTTCAATTTCAAGGTTATGGTTATGGTTTCAGGCTCACTGTCACACTAATGGATTACTGATCGCTGATGTCATTAAAAACAGTAAAAAACCCAAACTTACAGTTTGTCCAGTGGTCACTTGACTAATGTTTAAATGCCCAACTTTACAGCAGAAATCCTCTTAATCAGAAGTAAACATCTTGACAGCCTCATTAAAAAAGGTCCTTACAGGCTAATTTAACCATTTTTCCCAAAACACTGTTCATGTTAAGCTTGTTTTTTTTTAAAATTTAGATTATTATCAGGTTATTGTGACTGATGGGTTGCTGCCAACACAGGAAGAAATGTCTAATAGACGTCTGCAAATACACTGATTTGGAAATCTCAATTAGCCTTTTTTAATAAGCCTGTGCTACAGTTTTGATGAGTGAAATAAGAGTATATGTGTTGTGTATATATTTAGCACTGAATTTCTTAGCACTGTCTCTTAGAACCCTGTCAGGTTGCCAGTCTGTTGCAGGGCTTGGCTTCACATCTATCTTCGTCCAGCTTCTATATAAAACCTATGGTTACTAACTGGTTGTGGGGGTTTTGTTACACTTATTTAGTTCATACTAAAGCCATCACTCATAGAATAATGCTTGGTTAACTTCCTAAAAATCACCAAACAGCCTTTACTCTGGGAAGAACAATAGGTAATGGTGATGAGATGGCTGATTATCATATTTTCTTAATTTTGCCCAGAAGGGGAGCTAAAGGAAACAAAGCATGAGAAGCCAGAGCCACCGTTGCTACTAGCTATACAGCAGGTATTAATGCTGTTATCCACTAGCAGCATCTCACATGCCCACATTTATGTTAAAAGTCAAGTCACTTTATTTATGTAACGTATTAAAAATGCTGGACCTCAATATTCGATCTCAAGTTCTTTCCACCGGAGGCAGATGGACTAATTATACAAATACTGAAGAATACACGGAAGACAAGGGATACAAGTTTAAACAAAGCCTGCTTTAATTTGAGCAGAATGTGGGCTGTTTTTACAGCAGTGGAAAAGGTGGATAATTGGTCTTTCATGTGGAAAAACATCCTGCGTCCCCCCCTATACACCAACATGTGACAGACCAATCAGTGAACAGCTGCTCATCCTTCCCAGGCACAGCCATCCCCGGCTCGTTGCACATCATGCAAATGAGGTGTATCAGCTGCACACGTTCAGCAAAACACACGAAAGTGTACCTAGATAATGTGCTGAGTTCAAAGGCACATACAGAGGCGTACTAAAAGCATTTGGCTTTTCTATTAAATCCCTTTTAATCTTCTGCAGTTGACTACAGTTGAGGGCTTTGCAAGTCAGAGAAACTCTCCTGAGAGTAGGATGCTCAACATACCTGGCAAAGAGGCAAGAGTATGACCAAGAAGTGTGTGTGAGAGCATGTGCACGTGTATGCACACGCGCGCGTGTGTGTGTGTAATGAATGTAGGTCAGATAGGGGACATGGGGAGGAACTTCAGAGAGCAGTTTGCAGGCTGACTTGATTAACTCTCTCCGTGAGATTCTAGGAAATTTATTTTGTTACTCGGGAAGTTTAATTTTTTTTAAAGAATTTAATGTCTTTTTGGGACTCGCTTTTACTGTATTCGACAGAGATGAGTTGACGTAGTGTAAACTGAATTAATTCCAGAGGTATTAAGTGATCAGTTAGATAGGAAGAGATCGCCAAGTAGCTTTCATTGATTTGAAAAATTAGATCTGAGTCACATTTTCCAAGCCGATATTCAAGCCAAATATCAAAATGTTTGCATCAATCTCTGAGATGTTTGATAAAACTCATTTGAATTTTAGTGCGTGTCCATGTAGCTTGTCTGCACAGAGTGCCGTTGCAGTCAGCCAGAGGATATCAGATATGTTTTTTTCTCCTGTCTATTTGGCCTCTGACACCCTTTTGACCTCCCCGCCCCTCCTGCCACTCTCCCACACCTATCTGCGCCTCGCTTGCCTTGATGCCAGCACACCTGTGCTGTCTCTCAACGGTCAAACTAATAAGCCTTCTCTCCAAGCAGAAAAATCCCTTCAACCATTGCTGCACCTCAGCATTGGCCGAGCAGACTTAGACTGAGCCGATCCATGGCACAAAGCTAAGAGTGAATGACAGCCAGGGCTTAAGAAGGTCAAACGCCTTGGTGGTCTGGCTGACTGAAGTCAGGGTTACATGCCAATCCAGTTAAAGGAACCAAAGGTAGAATAGTTATGACGTTTGAAGTTTAACAAAAGACAACAAATTAAAGGAAAATGTGCAGAGTGAAAATGGAACTGCACGAAGACAAAAGCAATGTAAGAAGAAAGACATAAAGACAAAATAAAATCATACTTAGTGTACAATTAGTCGCCGAGGACATGAAAAGATGAGGCTAACAAGGAAGGTGGAGAAAGACACGCACTTCATTTATTGTGTGTGAAAATAGACATTGAATATATTTTTATGATACAGAATAAACTTTACTTTACTATAAAGTTTACTGACAGCTGTGGCAATTTTGATTACCAGCAGATATCTCACAGCCTGTCTCAGAATGAGATGTTCTGAATAATTGTGTCACCTGCAGATAATTCCGTCACTGTTTGTTTCCGTGTAAGCGACTACAGTTGACTCCATTCCCTATATATTGGACAATTCCTTGTTGAGGGAACACACATTTAGCAAAAACAAAATTATGTGTGAGTGTCTAACAAACAATACTCACCCAAAAGAGTACACCCGGCAGTGTCTGCTCTTTATCCTGCGGATCAGTTTATAATTGGGATCTAGGCACACAGCCCATGCCCCAATGGACCCTTCCTGGTCTGCTTTCTTGCCTCGAAGTGACGCACATGACACCTGGACAAACATAAATGTAAACACAAAGCAAGACATATTAACAGCCATTTTTCCAGGAACAAGGAGCAGAACTTATTGTCAAGACAGCCATGTTATCTGACACAGTCGGAGTCCTGTATTGCAAATATAAATGGAACAAGAAATGAATGACAGAGCAACCGAACCACACCGACTCAATTCGCAAAGCAAAAATAAGTGTCTGTGTCTGTATGCTGGACATTCAAGACCATCTGCGCTGTTTGGATATTGATGTCCAAGTCTGTTCACTGCACTGGTCACTGAATGTGAAAGTGAACTAGTCGTTAACTGGGCAGGGGGTTGTGGTGAGATAAATCTTCTGAGAAGCGGGCATTTCATGTGTAAGAGCGCATTACTCTTTGACAGCATTACTCCAACCAAACGAGTGAGTTTTCATTCTGTACAATAAATGGAGTCCTAGGGATTTCAAGCAAACACAAGTCAAATGTGGCAGCATAGTTGACACTCTGATATATCCTGATTTCTTTAGGTGAGTTCTACAACTCAGACTCAGACATGATGCACAGCTGGTGCTGATGCACTGCCAAGTGTCACTGGGTTGGCAGAAAGAAACTAAAAACGAGGACTTTAAATCCTTCATTTATGATTAAGATTGTACTTTTACCCCCTTTAATTCACAAAATTTGTTGGATTTAAAACACAGTATCCTTTTAGCTGCTTCCATATAAAAGTCTTTGGATCCTGCCATATCTTTAACAAAAATATTTTTTCAGTACTGTACAATAACAGTGTATTGTTCTAAAATGTTGTGGATTATATTTTTCAACCTTAAAAATACAGCTTTCATAATCAATTTCAACCAAGAATCCAAGGACCAACATTTGCAAAAATGCTGTATACACACCTGCATATACCAGTACAGAGCAGGAGCTACTGCTCAAATGTTTGCTGTGCGGTTTCTCCACATTCTGTCTGATGCCGAGATTAACTTTGCAAGGGAAGAAACAATATTGGCTCAGACATCAAATGTCTGGCTTTACTGTACTACACCATTCAAGTCCAAAGTAGCATGTTCGCAGCTACACTTTGTTTGTGCTACTGCATCTTATCACAGCTAGAGAGTTGCTAGGTAAAATCATTTGCAATGACGTATACAGTGGTGCACTGAAAACCTCCATGCAGTTGCTTTGGTTGCCAGCAGATTGCCACTCTTACATAAAGATGATGATTTGTCTGCAAACTACCCTCTCCGTGGCAGTGAAACTGTGTGCAGAGAGAACATTTTGTGATGAGAATATTTGCCTTCAAAAGTGAAAGTTGCGCCCTTTTAAATGTCTTAGTTGCAGCAGCAAGGGGCAACTCTTAATTTGAAAGCAAAGCAAGCATTTTCGGTTTGCGTCACTTTTGGCAACCGCTTATTGAGTGGTTGGCAGACAAGTTAGCATTTTCTATGCAAACTACAGGTGACTTCAGCAATTTGCTAGCAAACAAAGCCACAAGGAGGTTTTTAGAGGTTTTTAGGAGGTTTATGGGCGATCGTGGCTCAAGAGTTGGGAGTTCGCCTTGTAATCGGAAGGTTGCCGATTCGAGCCCCGGCTTGGACAGTCTCGGTCGTTGTGTCCTTGGGCAAGACACTTCACCCGTTGCCTACTGATGGTGGTCAGAGGGCCCGGTGGCACCAGTGTCCGGCAGCCTCGCCTCTGTCAGTGCGCCCCAGGGTGGCTGTGGCTACATTGTAGCTTGCCATCACCAGTGTGTGAATGTGTGTGTGAATGGGTGGATGACTGGTTGTGTAAAGCGCTTTGGGGTCCTTAGGGACTAGAAAACCCCTATACAAATACAGGCCATTTACCATTTTAGCATCCTCTTTGCGACTAATTTCACCCACAAACAGTCAGCAACCACTCACCATCTAGTCGGGGAGTGCATATTTTTTCCTAGTGCTCAGAAGTTGCCCGGGGATTTCTCACCAGTCTTTAAAAAAGCCAAAATCTCCTTGAGCAAGAGACCAAAGCTTCTATTATTCCCAATAAAAGGCATCCACCTTGCACAGCAGCTTCCACAAACTTCTAGTCTAAAAAGAGAGCCTAATGTGAAAGTATGCTGATTACCATTACATATCTTCTGGCTGCAAAATGAAATCTGAGTGTTTAGAACTCTGTATTGAAATGAGCTTTTATCTCCCCTAATTGATAAAATCAAATTGCTTTCACAGCTTTCTTTATTTCCTAATCAATCTCCCATTTGCTATAATGTCTGCTTTCCAAACACAACACATTTAAAACACTCAGCCTAAATTTTCAAAATGGCACTTTGATAACTAGTAGGTGACGGCTATATCCATCTTTCATTTACATTCAATGGTGAATAAGAAATACTTTCTAGATCCTAACTCAGGTAAAAAGACACAGATGGCAGACGTTTTGCAGCCAAGCAAATGTGTAAGAAGAAATGTACTATGTCCCAGCCTCTTATAAATCCACTTACTGTTCCTAAAATAGAAGAAATTTACATTTGAAACTGTTCATTAGCCGTGTTTACATTGCCAGCCTTCCCTTTTTTGGCAAGCTGGAATTGTACAGTTTCAAAAGAACCTCTTAGGCGTAATTTCTTACTGTGGCTTTTGTATAAATCGCCCATTTTAATGAGATCATTCTGTGACAGGTGACTCAGGAAGGAACAAACTGAATCACTGAAGTGCAGTGTCACCATCTGACAAAGGACAAAAGTTGCCCGATGTGTCTTTGTTGCTCTCTATTTAAACCAATTCTTACATATTGAACATTCTCCACAATGTCCGTCATCGTTAATGCGTTCGAGTTGAAAGCGTTTATCTGCATACAATGCACTGTGGAAAATTAAATGCGAAATCACTCTTGATTATTTTGCCACTTCACATCTAAAGACATATCAGTTGCATTGAGCTGCTGAGAGCTGAACAAAGCTACAAAGAATACTGAGCTGTATAAACCGAGAACATTCACTGAGCGTGAATGAGAAGTTCATTCTTATTGTTGATAAGCTAATCAGAAATTGATCCCACGCTCCTGCTGCCTTATTCTTTCACACTATTATTAGTAGTATTATTAATATTTTTATATAGACTTACTCTTATCTGTGCATGAACACGTGAAAGCTGCTGACTGGTATTGATTGGACAGTTGTGTCGCAGGCCATCTCTCTTAGTAACAGTTCCACCAGGCACTATGTCAGTCAGCATTACAGCAGAGGATGCTGCTATCCCCACACCAGCTCCCTCCACCCTCGCCTGTCACTGTCAATGACAGACAGTTCCCTTCCACAGCTCCTCACAAACACACACTTGTACACACATGCTCACAAGATCTCTTTCTCTCTGTTCCTGTCCTTGTCCCTTCCTTCCTCACGCACAAAAATCCAAAAGTACCTAAACACACACACACGCACATCCCAGCACTAATTCATAATGAACTAAATTTCTGCTTTGTGAAAGACAGACTGAGTGATGCTTAGTCATTTGGAGATTGGTACTCTGTGCTCTGGCTATGTTGTGTGAGGGATAAAGATAAGATGTTGATTTGTCTCCAAGCCAATTTACTGCAATAGAAAAACACACACACACACACACACACACACGCACACACAAACTACATGAGTTCAAAGAATGCCTCCATCGTAGAGACAAAGATTTTCCAACCTTCCAACCAGAATTCCAACCTTTCTCAGTTCCTTTTTATATTTTTCCTTTTTTCCTTCTTCTTCTTATTATGATGCAAAACATCTTCATTGATTTGTAGTAATTAATACTGATGCAGTCCAAGGAGCAAATCACAACAACTCATTGATTAGATCTGAATAGAGGGGCTGTGAGCTCCATCTGTATAGTAATCAATAGAGTAATGAATTAGTTGCTTACTGTCAGGGCAAGAAAAATGTTTTGGCTATGCTGAATGTGAAAGAGATGCCACTGCAGCTCAATCATGGGCTAAGAGATGCAGTCTTATTTTTTTTTTTAAAAGCAGCCAAAGGTATGTGTCTCATGGCTTAACTACTTTATTTATTTTTGCCTCAAACTCTAGTCTTAGATTTGCATTCAGTGTCAGGTTAATTTTTTGCTTTGAGGACAGAATCGATGGTGCTTGCACTGCATCATTAAGCACAGCCAATATCGCAAATAAGAAATAAATAGTAAATATAAAGTACACTATGTCACAGTAAAAATTTAAATAGGTCTTTAATAGTGGACATCAGGAAGGTGTAGGCAAGCTATAAAGCATCAGAAGTAAAAGTACTTATTCTCGATTTAAATATTTCCCTTAAGAGTTAAACGATCAATATGCATCATAGTCTATTAAAAATCACATGTTTGCATTGTGGCTGTCCTGTCATGACCAGATATCTAAAAATAATATTAAAAGTGCTTTTAATGAGCTCAGAAAACAGACCTAGACCTCAATTAAAAAAATTATATTAGAAAATATTCATAAAAACAAAAAGAACCAACAGGGGGTCGATCAGGTTACCTACTAATCAGAAGGTTGGTGGTTTGATCCCTGGCTGCTCCAGTAAGCATGCCAAATATCCCCTGGCAAGATACTAACCCCAAGTTGCTCTCCAACGCATCCATCAGTGTATGCATGTGTGTGAACGTTAAATAAAAAGCACTTGTATAGAAACAGCATAGAAAACAGCTTGTGAGAATGAGTGTGAATGGTGTATAAAGTGCTTTGAGCGCTCAGGTAGAGTAGTAAAGCACTATATAGGGAGTGCAGAATTATCAAGTTGTATTTCTGAGGAATAATTTTATTATTGAACAACAACCATGTTCTCAATGAACCCAAAAAACTCATTAATATCAAAGCTGAATGTTTTTGGAAGTAGTTTTTAGTTTGTTTTTAGTTTTAGCTATTTTAGGGGGATATCTGTGTGTGCAGGTGACTATTACTGTGCATAATTATTAGGCAACTTAACAAAAAACAAATATATACCCATTTCAATTATTTATTTTTACCAGTGAAACCAATATAACATCTCCACATTCACAAATATACATTTCTGACATTCAAAAACAAAACAAAAACAAATCAGCGACCAATATAGCCACCTTTCTTTGCAAGGACACTCAAAAGCCTGCCATCCATGGATTCTGTCAGTGTTTTGATCTGTTCACCATCAACATTGCGTGCAGCAGCAACCACAGCCTCCCAGACACTGTTCAGAGAGGTGTACTGTTTTCCCTCCTTGTAAATCTCACATTTGATGATGGACCACAGGTTCTCAATGGGGTTCAGATCAGGTGAACAAGGAGGCCATGTCATTAGTTTTTCTTCTTTTATACCCTTTCTTGCCAGCCACGCTGTGGAGTACTTGGACGCGTGTGATTGTCCTGCATGAAAATCATGTTTTTCTTGAAGGATGCAGACTTCTTCCTGTACCACTGCTTGAAGAAGGTGTCTTCCAGAAACTGGCAGTAGGACTGGGAGTTGAGCTTGACTCCATCCTCAACCCGAAAAGGCCCCACAAGCTCATCTTTGATGATACCAGCCCAAACCAGTACTCCACCTCCACCTTGCTGGCGTCTGAGTCAGACTGGAGCTCTCTGCCCTTTACCAATCCAGCCATGGGCCCATCCATCTGGCCCATCAAGACTCACTCTCATTTCATCAGTCCATAAAACCTTAGAAAAATCAGTCTTGAGATATTTCTTGGCCCAGTCTTGACGTTTCAGCTTGTGTGTCTTGTTCAGTGGTTGTCGTCTTTCAGCCTTTCTTACCTTGGCCATGTCTCTGAGTATTGCACACCTTGTGCTTTTGGGCACTCCAGTGATGTTGCAGCTCTGAAATATGGCCAAACTGGTGGCATCTTGGCAGCTGCACGCTTGACTTTTCTCAGTTCATGGGCAGTTATTTTGCGCCTTGGTTTTTCCACACGCTTCTTGCGACCCTGTTGACTATTTTGAATGAAACGCTTGATTGTTCGATGATCACGCTTCAGAAGCTTTGCAATTTTGAGACTGCTGCATCCCTCTGCAAGATATCTCACTATTTTTGACTTTTCTGAGCCTGTCAGGTCCTTCTTTTGACCCATTTTGGCAAAGGAAAGGACGTTGCCTAATAATTATGCACACCTGATATAGGGTGTTGATGTCATTAGACCACACCCCTTCTCATTACAGAGATGCACATCACCTAATATGCTTAATTGGTAGTAGGCTTTCGAGCAAATACAGCTTGGAGTAAGACAACATGCATGAAGAGGATGATGTGGACAAAATACTCATTTGCCTAATAATTCTGCACTCCCTGTATAAGAACCAGTCCATTTACACTTAATCTGTCAGTGGTTTTAATGTTGGCATTTTAAATGAATAATAATCAAAAATACATTTCGGTAGCAAATGAAATGAAAAAAAAAATCTCACTTGCTGAGTTGTGATGTAGCTGAGGAACCTTTTAGCTTCATCCTCCAGTGACTGACTCTCACTGGCCCAGGGCTCCAGGTCTATATGCCACCGTGGAGTCTGAATAGGGGAACATACGCATATACATGAACAGTTACAATGGAAATAATATGAAAATGAGCAACTCACTAACATCAAAGTAGGCCACTCACAAGAAATCCAGTGCAAGGACAACAATAAAGGGAGCTTTATTCTTTCAGGTATTATAACCCTCTTGTGTATAGCCACTGATAGAACTAGGTCACAGTGTGCTCTGAGGAAAATTTCCCCCACACACACGTGTTAGCGACAAACAGCTAAAGTTCATTTCTGTTGTTATTTTAGTAAAATGGGGACTGCTAGCCTATTTACTCACGTGTATGCTTTGCTGGAAGGTATGGATTGAGCTTTGTTTGAAAGTGGAAGAATAAGATCTTAGACCCCTTCATCAGGGGGCTTTAGCAGCTTTAGCTCTGTGCTGCATTCCTGAAACGTGGCAGAACCTTGCTTTAAAGCCTGCTTCCATGCTACAGGAATGCGCCTGTTTGTGATTAGAGGAGGGTTAAAGAGTATGCAGTACAGAGGGCGACAGAGACGGCTCTGTGATGATGTATTCGTTGCTTGTACAATCATTTCTTGGGTCAAACACCACAGCCAAGTTTTCATTAGCAGCCCTGGAACAAATTATCTGCTGTGGTTTGATGAGAGTGCACGTCCCTGCCTAGGGCGCTCCTGTGTATGGGCACTGCAGTTTATTTCATAATTTCCCATAGCTGTGCAAATTAGATTAGGCTGTCTTTACTGACAAGATCGTGTTTAGGTTTGTTGCTGTGGACACGTGTAGCATGGTTCTCTCATGGTTAACGTGGCCTCAACACAGAGGACTATAACTAAGACATTTGACACTTTCACTAACTGATCCTTCTTTTAATCTTCATTGCACATGTACACACACTAGAGCTTATACATATATTTTAAAAAAATATACTTGAGTCTATACAGTGCACACTTTGCTTGACTTTTTACAGGTCTGTACGTAACCCCACACCACTCTGCTAATATGTTATCTGACAACACCATATGTGTTATTTTCTTCTCCACTGAGGCAGATCCTGGACCTGCCAACACACAAAAAATCTGCTTTTGCTTTAATGGCTGCAGAGCTTGATCCACACGACACTTTTCAGTGTTTGGCATCAAGCCTTCAATCGATTTACAGAGTGTCAAAACATCCGAATGCTTGCCTTGCCTCAACCCATCCGTTCTTTTCTCTGCTTCCTTTTATATCATGGCTTCTGTTTTCTTTTGTCTTTCTCGGTCTTCTAATATCCTGTTGCTCTTTTCATTGCCTGTTTTTTCTTTCTTCTAACATCCTGCGTCCCCATTGATTGTTTACTTCTGCTTTCTGCTGGTCTCTATCACTGACCTCAGCTTCGTAGTTAAAAAGGCACTCAGGACCCACAGACACTCACCGGCCACTTTGTTAAGG